TCTCTCTTATTTAAAACTGGGCCTTCTTGTGGTTTCTACTAGCTGCTATAACTGACCAGTGAATGGAAACTACACTCCTGCAATAGGAGAAGCAGCAGAAGATGGATTTCAGAACACCCTACTCTTACTTCTCCATCTCCATCTTGATTTCCTTGGACAGACAGAATTGTCAGAGCAGGCACTGTGTATTGGGAAGAGGTGGAACTTATCTGACCTACATCCTTCAAGAAAGCGTCTATTTTAGTTGCTGGGTTCACCAGAAGTGGGGTGATACTTAAGCTTTCTCTTCCAATTGAGTCAGTCCTGAATAATAGCTCATAAAACCCATGAGAAATGCAGGTTATCCATTTTGTGTTTATTTTTTGCAAATTTGCAGGATTATGAGTGCTGCATTATTTTGGGAATGTCTCTGCACCTCATCTGATTCTCATATATAGAAGATAATACTATATATATATATAAGAATACAAATAAAGGTTATTTACCTTTCTGAATTTGACTGAACTAGATGCTCAGAAAATGTTTGAGTGAGTAAATATATAGTAATGTGCCACTTTGTGTTATCTTCTCTTGTTATAGACATCAATTGCTTGGTATGTCGCTCTTCGCTGAGCACCTGTACTACTCAGAGTTGAAATCTGGCATGATATGGAGAGCCAACAAATATACTGGAAAAGTTGTAGTCACAATTAGCCTGAAGCCATCATTTTTTCCACCAGTGGAGATAAAAATAGTACATCCTTTTAAACAGCCAGGTGCAAGAACTGATTCTCAGGATTTGGGTAAGGAAAATGAAATGGTACAGTTGTATTTGTGAGAATAACTATGTCATACACTCTGATTCTCTACAGTAATAATTTTCTTTGGCAAAATTCCATGCTTAATTGAAGTAAAGGAAAAAGTTTCCTTTAACTTCAGTGATCCACAGTTCAATTTGGTGTGTGTAAATCCAGCTGAGTATCAGGCTGGAGGTGTACCAAACATGAACCACTGATTTCATTATTCTATATACATATGCATATATATGTGGCTTTCTCCTTCTCATCCTTCTGTTTACACAAAAGTATTTTTATGCTGTCCTGCTAAATGCAAAAAGCATACAGCTTTTTAATCCTCCACCTATATTATCTTTGACAAATGTCTGCTTAATTCTGAAAGTTTTAATCTAATATGCATTTAAACACCTCTGATTATTATGGCATTGAAGGATTTTAAACACTAAGTATGTCCTACAAGTGATACTGTGGATGTCTCACCTTTGCTGTGAAATGGCTCAGTTAAGAGTCAGTCTGCCTTAGAAAGACTTGAAGTTGCTATAATAGCTATGGAATAAGAGCCTCAAGTCTCTTTAATTGATATAAATTCCAATATGAGTTGGTCATCTTGCTGCCTTTCACTGTGGATCCAAAAATGAAGATAGTTGACTATCAAGAGCTCACCTCACTCGAGGATTCCTGCTGAGACAGTAGGAAGTGAGGGATGTCCAGGGGAAATAATGTCTTGTTCTCTGCTCTCTGGAAAGCAGACAGAGCACTCTTACTTCAGTGGAATAGCTTTTGTCACCAGTTTTGCTTGGATAAGAAAGACAGGAAAACAGCATAGAGGCATTTCTTTATTGAGCAATGGTTGCAGAACTCCCAAGGGAAGATGTCCAGGGGTTCCCAGAGGCTGAAGCGATATAAAGACATGAGGAGAATTTAGTGTTCATTTTTGTTTGTAATGAAAATGAAACTGTAAATATCTCTCTTGAACTATTTTAAAATATCTACTATAAAACAGGCTTCATCTTTTTGCATGCCAGCCAACAGCTTCATATGGTACCATGCCATCTCTCATTTTGAAGACTGATCTGAATGGAAAAATCAAAGCTTCTAGGGAAGTTGATTTTTTTCAAAGGAAGTTTCAAATGTTTTGTTTTCAGTGCAAAGAGCTGTTGAGATGCAGAAGATAAAGTGTTCCTGGAAATCAAGTTTACACTTGTAAGGACAGGGAGCATCAATTCAGAGACAATATCTGTTGTGTGCTTACTTTGAGGAAAATGGTCATCCTGGCAAACAGAAGCCCTTTCTTTAACTGACACATCTGGTGCTCTCATACAGAGTAACTAGGGCAGGATACGTGTGTGGTGCAGACAGCAGCATCTCCACACATCACAGGGTTGTTACACTGAGATTCAGAAGGTCTTATGAGGTCTCCTTGGGTGTCTGTCACAATGTTTACCTATGCAGGAAGATAGAGAGGAAGAGACCATGACCAAGAAAGGTAGTCTCTTGAACCTCAGGGACTGTCGGTTGTGTTACGTGTCCTCTCCACAAGAATGTGCAGCATAATTTCATTGAAAATTTTCATTGACTGTGGGCACTTAGCTTCTATTCTTCTCTCGAAAGATTAACTCCACTTCTTCCACCAGAACATTCTGCACTCTGGTGTTTATCTTTCCACTGCAAAAAGGCTTTCCCCACTTTTATTTATATATAAACCACACACAGATATATATATATAATATATATACCAGCATTTTCAAATGCCTTGCAGTATATACCCCTATATTTCCAATGTTCAGTAAATTTTTGTATGACAGTAAGTGTTGTCAACAGTAGGCCTTTCTTTAAATTCCAAATTACTTCTTGTAAAAATGTCTGGGAAGTGATGGAGTAGAAAGAAGCTTAACAGGCTGAATCCAGATGAACTTTTGGATTTTGCATGTATGTTGCTTGGCTTATCCAGTGCAAGAACGGGGATGAAAGGAGGACTAATGAGCCTGGAGTTCAAATGAGATTTATAGCTGATCTTACAACAGAGAAACGTGGAGATAAAAGCATACCTAGACTAATTGGATGCTCTGTACAAGCTAAGAAAACGTATGTTGCAGTGTAGTGTCTGCTGTCAATTATCAAGCCTTCTTTAAAGCAGATAACTAGTGCATTCCTTCAGATGAAAAGGGAACTAATGAGAAGTGTGCAAGTGAGATGATTTGATTTTTTTACTGCAATTTGAATTATTTACTTTGCTACTGAAATTCCTCATGTACCCTCTTTCCTTTCTCTTTCAAATGATTTCCCTGGATTGGTCAGCACCCATAAGTACAGAGAAGAGCGTTAATTCAGCTATGGGTTTGCTGTAACCCCACTGAACAACTTTGGTATGGCAGCATCACACTTTTATTAATGGCTAATAAAATATCTTAATTGCCTCAAAATCTCAAAGATTGCCTCTGGAATTCTTTAAAGTATCTTTTCTAACAGATTAATGATATTCAGTACACTTCCTTCCTATGTCAAAGGATACTTGAGCAGCTTTGTCTGTGAAGCAGAAGTAGGAAGGCTTATGGGGATCTATTGGGCACATTTTTCTGCTTTCTTTGAAGAAACTTTGAGAATATCTTCTTGGAAATCAGAAAGATTCTGAGTTTTAAATCTGAGTTCAGCATTTATAACACTTGTATTTCTCACAGATCCATTCCAGTACAAAGATTCTCTAGACCGTGCTACTATTTTTTGTCCAAATGAAACATGGTCATTATGATCTGTCCAGCTATTCTTTTTGTTAAATAATGTGAGTAAAAATGTGGTAATAATTCTCAGTCTTCATATGCTATCTGTCTTTTAAAAGTCTCTCTCGCCTCTCTATTTTTTTTTTTTTTTTGGCATGTGTGCTCTCTCTGTCATTCTCTTATTTCTGAGCATTTTATGGAGCAATATATACTACTGTGCAGGTCTGGTGGCACATGAAACCTGCTACACAGTTTTCACTTTCATAGTCACTATAGGTATGCACCCAAATCAAACCATCCCTTACTTCAGGCTCTCTCTAGGTCTTGTGCTGATGTAGAGCTGGAAATGATCATTTGCACAGACCTACTCTTAGTCTGCCAAGGACTTTCATTTTTCCAGTGATTTTTTGGCCCTATTTTAGCAACAGAAAATAATAGAAGTTATTTTCTGTTGATAAGAAGTTCCTCAGGTTGAGCAAGCAGATGTTGAGAAGAAAATACATCCGTGATCATCATTCTACTTGAAGGTTGATATGGTAAAAACTCCATTATGCTTACACTCTATTTGTTCTTTCAGAAAAAGGAACCTGTGATTTGAGTAAAGAAAAATGCAGAAGAAGAATCTGCAGGCCAGACTCAAGGACTCATCGGTGTAAATGTCCTACTGGCTTCATTTTAAGTAGAAATAAACAGTTTTGTGAAGGTAATATGTGAATCTCTTATCAGCTTTATTCCATCAGATGAAAGAAAATTCTTCTGTTCTTTTACTTATTGAGTATGAAAAAAGACAAAGAGATTTTAAAAATTCCAATTGCACCATTTAAGTTTTGTGTCCTTCCAGGTTGTGAAACAGTCTAAAAGAGATTTATGAATGTGTCACAGGTGCCATTCTTTCGAGAAATTTTGATCTTAGCCTGAGTAGGTAAAGCAGCTTCAGATAAGTAGACATGGTTCTATACGCTAATTTAATTTTTAAATAAAAATGAAAACACATATATCACCAAAGGTGAAACACTGAGTAATCCTGCAACAAGAATATTACCACTTTCAAAAAGGGCAGAAATTCTTAACATGCTTCTAATTGTTTTAATCTGGGTTGTAATTAAAAATCTAAAATTACTACTGATAATAGACAATTCTTTTGGAAGCATCTTTTTCACTACATGACCAGATTTTATAAGATGTAAAGGCATCAAAATTCCTAGCTTACAGGATTTACAAACCTGCCTGAGCAGCAGCATTCTAATTCTCAGGAAATTCACCAGGACTGCTTTCTGAATTTTGACTTCTAATACACTTCTGTGTTTTGAGATTTCTACTTAAGTCATGTTTAAGCCGAGTTTTTTAAAAGAATTTTTGTCTGAAGAAGGTGTCTAATGTAATTTTTTTGGCTGCAGGATTTAAATGGCATTAAAATCTGTACAGAAAGGCAGAACTTTAGAAAGTTGTTTAGGCACCTATGCTGGACACATGCAGCCTGAGTAAGTTTTGCTAGAAGTTTTTTAATGCTGATTTGAAGGAGGTCTGCAAACTTGCATTTTTGTAATATATTAGGAAAAACATATTTTTGTAAAATGAATGCAAAAAAGGAGGTACTTCTTGCAGAGTGTTTCTTTGTTTCATTATTCTACTCCCTGACACAGGTTGATGTTATTCGGATGCAACAAGTGTTTCTTTTGGCAGATATTAATGAATGTGGCTTTTGGAATCACGGCTGTACTTTGGGCTGCGTGAACATCCCTGGTTCCTATTACTGCACCTGCCCGAGAGGTTTTGTTCTGCTGCCTGATAGGAAAACCTGTCATGGTAAGGAGCTGTAATACATAAACACTTGAAGCATCACATTGGAGGGAGTCCTCATTTAACACTGGAACCGCTGAAAGTTTTGTATGTTGTGTTGCTCGCTTCTGATCCCTTATTATGTAAGTAGGATCAGCTTAAACTGGGTGAACCGATTTCAGATGTCATGTTTAAGGAAGTGTAAGTTACACGTGAGTAATCATATAGGCCTCTTCGGGGTGGTGAGGGGGGAAAATTCAGATCTCCAGAGAGACCTCTTCGCTCACACTGGGCTCTGTGACACGTTCCAGGTGGATAAGCAGTTATATCTTTTTAAATATGGTCTCTGAATTTGACTCACTTTGGTTATCCTGCACAAGAATTTTCCCACTCTCTGAATGAGCAGCTTTAGCATCATCTTTTTTCTTTTCAGCTCAGGGCTGATAGCATTGCTAATGTGTATGACATTAATGGAATTAAATGTGTATACTCAACCTACAAATTAGGCTTTCTAAATTAAGCCTAGAACACCAAGTGTGAAAAGGATCCAAGTTTTGAGGTTTTGGGATATTCCCAGTCACTTTTGAAGCAAAATTTATGCGTAGACAAAGGTCCTTCTACCTTGTTTCCTTGGAAATAAAATACTGGTAAAAGCTCCAAGTAGGAGTGCCAGTGCACACCAGTGAGTTCAGTCTGCATCATGGCAGGATCAGGACTTAAGGTATATTAAATATCACTACTCTAGTAGTCAGTCAGTCTATCTCTTTTAGACTTCCAAGAATCACTTCTTCCTCTCTACTAAGTGGGAGCCAGGAGCAGTTTCCAGTGACCCAAATGTGGGGGTCCAGGGTGTGTGTGACAGCTGCAGAAGGCAGCCAGCTGTGACAGACGACTTGTGAGTGCTGCAGCCAGAGGCTTTTGGGAAGTGGGATATCCTTTTGTGATCAAAACAACACTTAGACAACATGAAACTCTGTCCTACTTTGGATGACCATCTTGAACTATATGCCTACATTTTGAGTGGCTCAAATTAGACAGTTTTTCTAACGCAGGTTAGGGATGCAGCACAGACTGTAACTTCTTAACTACTGCAGCACAAGGCAGATGTATCACCGACTACACAACTTGAGAGAGAGATATTTTGATGCTTTTTTCTTCAAGTCCTTTACAAAGCTCTTCATCTAAAGCCACAAGCTCTGATCAGAAAGAAACTCAAGATAGTTTCTTGACCATATTCTCTGTGCTTAAGCAGTTACAACAGTCCAGTCCAGATTGGAGTTGCCCTGGAGAAGCAATATTTGCAACAGCTATGCACCATTTAAGCCAGTGTATGCAGCTGATTCAAAGAAGCAGCTGTGGGAAACTTTCATTAGTTCCAGTCTTCCAGTGGGTGTTGCCATATGGCACCAGAACTGGGATAATGAGATGGAGCACTGCAATATGGAAGGTGGAAGGAGCATATCCTGTGAAATTGCGTGAAAGAAATACTCAAAAAAATGTTGGCACTGCAACAATTCTAATGGAAAGTAAAGGAAAGCTATTGCCAGGTCCTCAGATGATTTTACCCTTACAGCTTCTAAAATTGAAACTAAGGAATATAGTTTTGTTTCAGGAAAGTTCATCTCCTGGTTTCATTGATTCTAGCTCTGTTACACCCGGAGTAGTAGGAAAGTAGTTTTTCCTCATTCACTTTGTATTTTATACTTATTTTTTCAGTATAAATTCCTTGTAGTTTTCAAAACCCGATCTATTTTTGATGAACTGTAAGAAAGAAAGTTTTCAAAATTACCTCTATTTTGATAACACCTCTTCACAGAATTTTGGAAAATGTAAGTCTGATAATGGCTTCAGGACTCAGCAATTTTGGCTTTCCCCTGTGCTATAATTAGGAGAGGATGTGGAAAAAAAACTTGGAAAAAAAGAGAAACAAAGGAAAACAAACCTCAGAAACACTGCAGAGGTGTTTTATTTATTTATTTATTAATTGTTTTATTTATTTCATTTCCCCCCCCCCTTTTGCTATTTAAGAAAGTGTTAATATCTCTTTCTGGGGGCTTAGTAAAATTTTTTATCATAATTTTATATTTTTTCCCCTCTTTAAATTACTGTAGAGCTAATTTCCTGTACAAGTAACGACACTGAATGTAGCCATGGTTGCCTTCAAACATCTAAAGGCCCTGTTTGCTTTTGTCCGGAAGGATCTATACTCAAAGTGGATGGCAAAACATGCACAGGTAAGTAACATTTTTTCCAGCTGTAGTGACTGCCAAACTCTGTTTATTCTTAGCACTGAGAGCCAGAAGTGAATGAAGGCATTTTACATTCATTTTGCACAGCTGTAAATGATTGTACAAAGCAGGCAATAGAATGTCAGGTGCTTTGAGTGCTGAGATGAACAATTTTAATCTTCATTTTTTAATAGGTTTTTATTAGTGGCAGCAGCCAATGTTTGCAGGCCAAATTCCTCTGTTGTCAGCACAGATCAAGGCATGTTACAGATTATTATTGCAAGAGACATCTAAAGTTTATATTTGAGGGGAAATATATGTACAAAATTAAGGCTTGGTTGAAATCTGAAGATGACTTTTTGACATCATGTAGCCCAGGTTCACAGTCACTTACCCAAAAATGGAATTTTTGTAGTCAGAATACTTGAAGCTGCTATGTTCACTAATCTGTCATTCCCCATTCTAGCATTTTTCCAAATTCAGGAGACTGTAATTTTTCAAATGTGTCTTTATGTGTCTTTTTAGTCTTAGGGATCAAGATAGCTCCATTACTGCCAGCCTCCTGCCTTGAAAAAAAAAAAATCACCTTTCCCTTTTAATCCCTTTCATACATGGACTGTACTGTATGCAAAGTTTCATTATTGCTGTTTTGCTAGGGACACTCCACTGAGTAAGCTCAGGTTGGCATTGAGAATATAATAGAAAAAATAAGAAAAGAATAGTTTCTTTTTATATGAAATCTTGGTTTGCTGTATCAGAAAGTATCAATTTTCCATCCTAGCATAATTAAGTTCTGGGGAGAGAATTGCTGTTTCTTTGCATGGTGTGCACAGTCTGATAAAATTTATTACTCTGCTGTAGATGGGATGATATTTGTATGGGAGAAAAATGAAAAAATGAACACATGGAAGACCTCTCTCTTCATGTGTCCCACCCTTCCATCCCCTATCTTGTGTCGTAAATTTTCAGGAAAAACTCAGTAACAAGTTACTGCTAATTTGTTATCTCTTCACTGGACTTCTGCTTTCAGCAGGAGGCCTTTTGGTAAATCTGCCAGTCATTGAGATGATTTGGACTGTAGAAATCCTGAGCAAAGTGAATCATTCTCTTATACCTCTGATTATGTTGTATTTTATTTTTTTTTAGAACGGCACAATAAAATTTTACAAATGCTCTGTTTAAGGTTGTACATCTCCAGATAATGGTGGCTGCAGTCAGATATGCTCTTCTTTAAGCCCATCCTCCTGGGAGTGTGCTTGTTTTCCTGGATATAAGCTTCAGCGAGACAGAAAGCACTGCACAGCTATAGGTTGGTGTCTTGGTGTGCCTGTATATTTCTGCCAATAAAAGCAAAATCATTTTTGAGTCCTTTAAAGTGGATGGCAAAACTAGGATCCCTTTTTGCACTGGTGTTAGGTTACTTTGTGAAACTTGTGAAGTATTAGTTGTTAGGAAAGATAACCTGTTTTGGAAATAAACCAGAACAAGCACCACTATATGGTTCAGTCTCCCTCACAGAGGGTTCAATTTATGATCCAACTTCAACATTTCACTCTGGGCTCCCACACTGCAGGGGTTCGTCCTGAATATGCAGGTTTTTGTGCCTTCAAATAAATGTGGGCATAGTTCCTGCCCAGTTTTACAGGACTGGGGCTGAGGTCCCTACATTTGGAAAAGAGGATAGGAAATAGCCTGTTGAAGGACTTTTCCTACAAGGATATTTCTCCTCCACTAGCCCCAAGAAGCCCAGGTATTTGCTGTGCACATTTGGATTTCAGACCCTTCTATTCCTTCTAAGAAAAGGGCAGACCTTGGTGAGCAGCAAGGTATAAGCAATTGCCTAAGAGAGAGGAGGAAAAAGAAGTTTGTGATTTTTTTCAGGAATAAGAGAAAAGCTTTATTTTTTGGAGGACAACATTTTTCTTGCTTTTAGTGTGAAAGACTTCTCATGTACAAAAGTCAAGTATTCTGGCATTTATAGTGATGCTGTGAAATGCAGAGAGATGATTTTGAGGCTAAGTCACTCAGTGTGAAACACAGTGGGGCTAGTCACTGCCTTTATCAAAAGTTTTGAGGCTGATGCTGAAAACTTATATTCACATTTATCTTCAATTTCTGAGGCAAGTGGAATGTAGGAAAATTGCCATAATTTCTTTGTGCTTCTGTTCCTTATTTTGTCTTTTACCATTATCTACTTTCAATGCTACCTAGGTAGTAATGCAAGTTAGAGATCATTTTGAACCTAGTGCAATTAACATACTGGCAATTTTTCATCAACAGGTCCTAAGCCATTTTTGTTATTTGCAAATGGCCAAGATATCCGCCAGATCAGTTTTGATGGAACAGATTATACAAGTTTACTTGACTGGCAGATGGGAATAGTCTTAGCACTAGACTCTGACCCAGTGGAAAATAAGGTAAGGCATTAAAAATGAGAGGATTTCAAAGTGTTGCAAGGACAAATGGCTTGAGCTTTCATGTGCCTTAACCTTTCTGCTGTCAGTGATCTGGATTACACGTTGTGCTGCTTGTTGTTCTATTGCCTGTCTAGGAGCACAATAGCTACAAGCTGCCAAAAACGAACTGAACTGTTTCATCTTTTACTCACTAATTAAATGTGCTTTGTACATTGACAATGATAATTCACAGAGAATTTGGATTTCTAAATTCACTTTGGGCATGATTTCAATTTCAAAGAACTGTTGTGTGATTGATAAATTTTCTCCATTAAGATTGCAGTGTTGTTTTCTGGAAATACATTGTGGGGGTGTTTTTGCTGTGTAGTGGTAAAAGCAATAGTATCTTTTTTTCTGTACAGCTAAATCCCACAATGCCTACTAAATGTAGGAGTAATCTTAACACAGATTACTTCCCGTGTCCTGACATTATTCAGCAAAACTGCTGAATGCTCACTGAGTTTATTACTCTTACAAAATATATTCCTCATGTGTAAGATATTGCTGTTGGGAAACAGGAGTCTTCTCTGCAGAAAGAACTGTTTGTCTGTGTGGCTGTATCTTTCCACCCTATTCCCTTCCTTCAGAGTTGGGAATAATAGGAGTTCAGCTGTGCTTTGCTAAACCTTCTCTGGCAGATAGTTATATTTGCCTGTGATGAGATTTATTTACATCTAAAAGCGTTGCAAAGAAGTACTGGTTAGTACAGTGAAAGTTGATGATGAGCTCAGTTAAGTTGTTGGAAGCATCTCAAGGCCCAGATGGACACAGCCAAACAAATGTAAATGTTACCAGATCTGCATTTACAGGAGGAGCATTTCAGGTGCTTCTGGAACATCGCCACTTGCTCCTGAAATAGGGCCCTGCTGGAGAACTGGCAGTTGTTCTGGGCTGTGCCAAATGTAAATCAGCTGCGCCAGTGACGCTGGGTGTGCACCCCTGTTCTCCTCCTGTGGGGAGCTCAGCATGGCATTGGGGTGGGGAGTACAGAGGTAAGGGGACATGCAAGAGAGTTGCCAGGCTGCAGCAGCCTGGTCTGCTCAGTGCAGAGCAGAGTAGCAAGGAAGCATCCCTTTGTGCTCCCATGGTATTGAACTAGCTGGTTTAATGCTAGAGGCTCCCCCCAGTTTTGTTTGACCTTGTGGTTAGCATCAAAACAAAGTTATTTGTTTTGCTGTTATCATTTCCAAGGAAAGCCTCAGCATTGTTTTTCATATGGTTCTGCCATACAGTGTATAGCTCCCTCTGGGTATTGAATACAACACAAATTTTCTTTCCTCATCCTTGGAAACCACAAGCCTAGTTTCCCCACTAGCAGAGAACTTTTCTTTCAACCCAAAACTGAGAAGCCTCTTCTGAAAATTTTAGAGCCTTACAGAACAGACACCTGGTAAAAAATTAAGGTAACCGCAGGCTGAAAGAGAGAAAAAAATAGGAGCAAATTATATAACTCCTTTTCCCCTTCCCAGCTCCTTGACACACATAGATTGCTACTATCTTCTCTCTGCTTCTCCCTTTTCAATATGAGCAGCCAGTGAAATAACGTTTCTTTTTGCTTCCTTAGCTGTGCTTCATGTGAGGGAGCTGCTTGCTGAAACAAAACCACAGGATATTCAGAGGGCTGTATATAGGGCAACCAGGATTTACAGCTAAGCACAAGCTGCCTGTAGAAGTCATCTTGGTTGAAGGACAAGTGCCTTTTTATTTGGTCAGGGATCACAGGTTACCTGCGCAGCTTTTTGTAAATAAGCAGTTTAGGAAACTTTCAAGATGAAAAAGTTGGTTTAGAAGTGCGACTATTAGACAAGGGGAGTAGAGTAGAAAGTGAGATGGGAACTAATAACACCTCACCTGTTATTTATTTACAGATTTACTTTGCTCACACTGCCTTGAAATGGATAGAACGAGCTAATCCGGACGGCTCAAATCGTGAAAAAGTTGTTCATGAAGCTATAGATACACCCGAAGGCCTCGCTGTGGACTGGATTAACCGTAAATTGTATTGGACAGACAGAGGGTACATGCTCCACAGTGAATTTATGTTGAAGCATGCCATAAAATATTTGGAATAAATGACTGGTGATACAGAAATAGCTGAGATATCACTCTAATTCAGTAGTGCTTCACATTCTGATTGGTTAGTTTTAATCTCAAGTATATACGGTTGGAAGATTCTTCAAAACTGAAATGCTGGAAGTTCCCTTTGAGTCTGCTATTGTATTTTTATCTTTGTCTTTCCAAGAAGCAAGGGTTTGGACTCAGTTGCAAGGAATCTAAAGCATGTACCACATATATACATATACGCATGTGCATGTGAATATATGTTTACACTCATTTATATACATACACTCTGTGCGTGTGTGTGCACATATAGGTATATCTTTATATATACATATAAAAAAGAATATTACTGTATTGAGTACGTCTTGGGCAGAAGTCAGTGTTGTTGGCAGCTAGAATCATGCCCCTTGAAACTATTGGAGGGTCTTTGTCAATTACCTCTGCTAAAAGAGGAATGACAATATGACTTTAATTTCAGCTGATACCTAAAATTACATGCTGAGAGAAACAAAACTGACCTTTGCTGAAAAGGCAATGCCAGATCAAAACACACAATGAAGACTCCTTGAAGAGTGGTCATGATGTTTCAATATGATCCATAATTCATTAGTCAATAGAAAGTAATTTTGAATGTTCAGATCACCCTCCTTCTCCCTTATAAATATGCTGCTAGTCCACTTCCTTGCTAATAGGTGCAATCTTGTCTGTGTGATTGTGCTCCTGTAAAATATGCCAATGTTTCTTGTGAAATAGAAAATTATGGTGTTTGTCTCTGTAGGACAACAGTCCAGGGGGAATCTGAGAAATGGAATTGGCAACTTTCTTTTCAATCACTGCATTTATCTGTTTGTATTGCATATTTGAAGGAATATATTTCTCCTTCCATCTCTGTGTGGCCTTTCTTTGAAGTTTTAGATAGGCACGGAAGGCTGTAGGTTTTCAGGTAGAGGCTGGTATTTGTTTGGCAAAGTGAAGATTGCAGCAATAAAATCAGTTTTCTGGAAAAAGGCTGAATTTGAAGACTAGCAAACTAGATTCTATACTTGACTTGGCCACATATTTTATAAGTGATCTTAAGAACTTTAGCCTCATTCTTTCCTGAAAAATAGATGTAAAATGATTTGGGATTTCTGGATGAAAAATGCTGCATAAAAGTACTATTTAGAAAAATTCTTTATACATTTGATAATGGCATTTGGTTAGGAGCTGGTTTTCCTCCTGAATCCCTTTAGAGCTAACATTTATCTGTTAGTGATCATACTTCCAACTCATTATTTGCCCAGAGAAGGAGAACTTAATGTCTTCTGCAGAGCAGCAGGTATTTTATCATCATGCCTTGGACCAAATAATGAGGCTGTAACTTGAATTACTGGTTGATAAAACAACTGGACTCCCCACATCAGCGGGATTATTTTCTGTCATTGTAAATTTATTTATTACAGCTAAACTAAATTGATGTGAAATCTTAGTACATTCTGCCCGAGAAGGTAATTAAAAAGATAGCAGGGAGGACTTAACTGTGCCCTGTGTATTGCAGGAAGGCGTGCATCGAAAGGAGCAATCTGAATGGAATGCAAAGAAAAATGATCATCTGGGAGGATATCTCCCAGCCCCGAGGGATTGCCATTCACCCATTTGCTAAGTAAGGAGTGAAAAATGCAGTTAATCATGAAATACTTAGGGAGGGTTTTTAAAAATGACCATGCCAGCCTTGCCCTTTTGAGAGTCAAAATGTGCATTAGTCTCCTGGTAGGTTAGTCATTGCATTGCAGAGCTGTGTGAAATGCATTGTTTCATTGCTGGATTTCTCTTTTGAGTTGAGACATGCTCATTTCTCATACCGATTTAAAAGAAAATACCAGAAGCATTAATGATATTGTATGCAGTTCAAGCTAAAGCTACATGAGCAACTAAAGTCACTCTGACAGTTTGTAAGCAGCACACTACAAACTTCAATGGTTCCATATCTATTAGTGTAAAGAAGGCAGTCACTTTTAACCAATAGTACTTACAAAGTAGTTTTTTGGCCATGGTTCAGTTTCTTAGGAAACTAAACCTAATCTACTGTTGTGGAGACTTGTTGATTTAAATGCACCTTATAACTTCTTAACTAGTGTCAAGATGATCACAGGAGATTTGGGTGTTTAAACTCTTGATGCAATTCTGTCCATCTTAATCAATGGCAAAGTCCATGGATTTCAGTCAATATGTCTGTAGTAGGAGCATTTTAAATATGTTGATTTTTAAAGTATTTTTTTTATGCTCATATCCTGCTATAACTAAGTACCCATGAATCAAGGAATGAAGCAAAGTTGGGGAGGGTGTTTTGTTAGTTTCCCTTTGGACATAAAAGACCTGAAAGGATTTTTCAATAGAGGTTGAACATGATAGAGACATTTTGCAGGAAAACTTTGTAGAATGAGTAGGTTCTGTGGGATTGTTTATTAGAATTATTGGTAGATGCACAGGGTACAAGGGGAAAGGGAAGAGAAAACATCACAAAAATCTTCATTTTTAGAAAGTTAATGGCAAAAGGATGAACAGACATTATGGCAATGTCCATAGTTGTAAATATTGATGAGAGATCTGAAACACAATTAAGACTATTGAAAATACTGATCCCTGCATTGACTACAGCAAAACTACTTCAGTAAATAAAGCTAAATGAATCTGTGGGTTATTTCAGTAAACCTGACAGAGGCAACTTATGCCTGGGAAGACTAGAGCTCAAACTTCAGAATTAATTTGTGATTTTGGTATCCTCATTTTTAAGTTGCCATCTAGCACTCTCTGTTCGTTGAAAAACAGTAAGCACCCAGTGAGCAACACACAGGACTTTAGAGGGAGATCTTGAAAATCACAATTTTATTAAAAGAAGAAAATATACTGGTTTATTTTTTAAAACCAAAATAACCTGTGTACTCTTGCTTGTTTTCCATGGGTAGTGGGTAATTTTGGTTCCATTTGTGTATTATTATGCCATTTTTTAGACAAGGTGCTGGCTAATGCCTTGTCTTCTACTGTCTGGGTTTGCTAAACCACTATCAGCTGTCATGTGGAAAATCAAAAAGCAGATATAAAGATCTGGCAATTAGCATAGGCGGGAGTTGTTTTTCAAAGGTTTTGTACCAGTGAACAGAGGATTCTGCATAAGTCCCAGTGTAATCACCTGGAGTCTTATGGCAAGTGTGAAAAGACCAGAAGCCAATATGTTTGCTTGAAGCATGCACTTTTTCTCCTGTGACTTGGGGCTGTATTGCTCTGATCTGACCTTTCTGCTTTGAAAGAACTCCATGGAGAGGAGGACAAACATTTGCTTACTGACTTCCCGTATTCATTTTGTTTTCCAAAGGAGATTATTCTGGACTGACATGGGGGTCAATCCCAGGATTGACAGCTCTTCATTAGAAGGCATCGATCGTCGGGTTATAGCCAGCACTGGTCTGGTGTGGCCCAGTGGAATAGCTCTTGACTACTTAGCAGACAAAGTGTACTGGTGTGATGCTAAGCAGTCAGTGGTTGAGAGCGCAAATCTGGATGGTTCTGGTCGTCAAATTCTTGCACAGAATGATGTAGGTGAGGTTTTGGCGTTGATAATTACCTACTGCTGCTTGTCAATCTGTGTGTGTACCTGCACATGTGCATGCAAATTATTGGCCAGCAGCTGTGCTGTAGATCCCATACAACTCTGTGTTGAGGTTAATGGCCTCACTTTCATTCTTTATTCTGTTACCCAGCTGACCTTTATCCAGTTTAGCAAAAGTATGTCTTTCTAACACTCTGCTTTTACTAATCAGTTGCTTTGCATTGCACAGAGGACTTCTCTGCCTTAACAGAAAAATGAAAATAAGGAAAAAAGTTAAAAATGTGGTTTGCTTGTTTCATGCATGGCTGCTTAGTTTAATTCAGGTTTTGCTGTGTTTATTATATCAGTGAGTTATTTTGACATAAACCAAAAGACAGTTAATCTTTATTGTTAAGGTTCTAGAGCAGCAAACCTGCATCTGCAATATTGAACACTGGAATGATTCTAAACACATTAGATATCAAATGAAAAATGATTTATACACTTTGCTGGTAGTTGTTATGGCTTGAGCAGAGTGAGGTCTTGGAGGAATCATTGTTCTCCAGTTCGGAAGACATCAAAGGGCCTCAGCAGAGTGACTTTCCAGCCTTCGTCTCTTTCGTCTGCTGCGCATATTCTGCTGTGCACTCCACCTTGCAACTGATCTGCAAAGAAGGACTTTGAAGCCTGAACAAAGTTTCACTTCGTTCCTCCACAAGGAATGGGACAATGTCTTATAGGGAGAAAACAGAGAAGGAAAGCTAGGAGCACTGTAGAAACATTGGCTATGAGAAAAGAGATAGGCTTGGAGCAGTGATACAGCAGTTCGGAGGTGGGAGAAAAGGACATCAACACTGTATGCAAAGAAGTGAAAGAATTGAAGGCCTATAGGGGTATGAATTTAGAGAAGCAGAGAGACTTGATATCCTGATGTTTTGCTAATGCTTTTAGTGAGACCAGAATTCAGCTTTATTTATTGGACAGCTGTACACTGGAGAATGGGAAGGTGGCACCTCTTCATAGGCGTTCTGCTGTAACATGAATTCTTATTACAGCAGCTCCCTCTAGTGCTCCGGTACTGAGAGCTCATTCAGCACTGCCGCATGCAAAATAGGTAAATTACTTCTGCTCTTCTGCTAACGCCGTTTTCAGCTGTAAGTAAAACAGCCCGTTAGCACCTTCCCAAGGCAACAAACAACACAACCACTCCTTTTGTTTATGCAACCATTTAGGTTTGCACTGCTCTGGGAAAGGTTCATGAGATTATTAATTTTTTTTTTTGTTCTTGCTATCTCCATCGATTGACACTACCTTTCTAATTTTAATCTTTAATGTATTTGTAAATTAAGAGGTTAAGGAATTGCCGATCAAAGCACAGTGCTGTTTGTGGATAGTGCAAGCTATAGAGCAAAACTATGAGCAAATATTTGAGTGGGGACAGCATCTAGATCTTGGGCTAGTTGCTCAAATTTAATGGAAAGAAAAACTAAGAACCAAGGCCGGTGATTAAGCATGATTCAGTGGAAGTAGTGAAGTGCCAACAATATGCTCTTCAACTTAACACATAAGAACACTTAAACAGTGTTTTAGAATTTCTTTTTTTATAGGAGTGGGGTTTTTCAGTTTATTTGCAAGGTGTATTTAAGATATACCAACACATACTCCTTCTCCAAGGTTCTAATTTATCTGTTGTTTTGTTTGCCTGTTTCCTTAGCTTTGATTTTTTTATTTTTATTTTTTTTTAAACTAATACATTTTGGGTTCCCAATTTCATTACTGAAATTAAACATCATCCAGTTAAGGTCTACATCAAAAAACAAAAACACAGATCATAAAAATCGGGTGCCTACAAAACATACCTTTCAGAGAGGCTCAGACTGCAGCAGTACAGTGTTGTGCACATGCAGGCTGTGAGGAAGGACCAGCACCAAGCAAACCTGCTTAAGCCATGAAGTACCCACTCTGAAACCTTGTGGACATACACGGAAGAATAATATGTGTTCTTACATTCCATTGCAAAAAGTTTTCCCAAAGTCTAATTTGAAATCAGGAGATTTCTAAGTGTACAGAAAGAATGTTTAGTCCTATATGGACTAATGATATTTTTCTATCATGAGAGAGATATTAAAAAGAGTCAGAATCATTTTGTAAAGATCTTTATGTCTGCCCCTACATATGAAAGTGTCCTTTGGATCCTGAATTGCTGCGCTTATCTCTGGGGATCTGAGTTTTCCTAGTACAGATAATGTACTACCAAGGAAAAGTTCCTGTACTCTGAACTTGGGGTGGAATTTCTCACACCTACTGCTAATCATGTAAGTGTTAGATGCCTGGTTGAAGCTGTTATCTAGCATATTGTTGTCATCAGTGAAAAAAGTGGAAGCTACCCGGATGATCCATTGCCTCCTGTGGTTTGTGTTAGCTGTTTCTGTTAGTTAGCTGGCTACATGCACATGTGGCCCACTGTATTGCACTTGTGTGTACTTTTGGCGCTTGCAGAGACCACACACTGTGTCTGGGGTCCTACTGTGGATCTGTGGATACAGTGTCTGTAACTCCCAGGCTGCTCTGTATCAGTACACTTATTCAAGATGGCAAATGACATGAGTTACTCTCTTCCTTGTTGTATGAAGACTGAAAAAGGAGCTGTGTACCTCAGCAGCTCTGTGCTGGGCCACTTACTGGCAGAGGAGGGAGTCACTTCAATTCTGAAAGGCTGGTCCCAATGCTGCCTCAAGAAATAATGGTGTCTGAGGTAGAAGGATTTTGTGAACTTCATCTTTTTGGAGATCGCCTAAAGTATACAGACTGTCCTGAGCCAGGCAATTGTCATAACCTCCTTCACTAAGAGCATAAGTAACATGTGCCCATGGTCCATCGTTCACAGACACTTATCCCTGCCCATGAGCAAACAAAGTGAAGAACTGGCTATGGCTATGCCCAATGTTAGAAGTTGACCTGTATGAAGACTGCTTTTGTTTTCATGGTTTCTTGTGTATGTTCTGCAGATGTGGAAATGATAAATCTAATGTCTTTGTAGGCCACCCTTTTGCTGTAGCGGTGTTTGAGGACCACCTTTGGTTTTCTGACTGGGCTAGGCCATCACTAATGAGGGTGGATAAGAAGACCGGCCAAAACAGGGTACGTCTTCGAGGCAGCATGCTGAGACCCTCATCAATGGTTGTAGTGCATCCTTTGGCGAAACCAGGTATACTGCAAAAACTAAGCAGTCATTCCCTTCCAGCCTCTTCTTGTTCACTGATGTCGGTAGAATAGATGTCCTTGGGGAGATGATTATCTTCTCAGAAATCATCTCTTTTAAAAGCCTTGCATAGTCAGACTGGCATTTATTGAAAGCGTCATCTGGGCATGTGTCCCAGGAATGCTGACAGTTTTTGTAAGTTTATGTTCATGTCCAAGAATAGATGCTGGTCAATTGCCACGAGGCCGCAGTCTTTAAATTCCTATTTATCCTAGTTTATTAGCACTCCTCTCACACACAAATAATAACAAATGACATGGAGAAAGATTTTGTAATATCCATTAGTTTTAGATCAAATAATTTGATTTTCTCTTTGGAACAGTTCCCCTGTAAGAGAAAAAATAATTTAATAGACTAGGATTGAGAGAAGGTAATCACAGGTTCCCTATGCTCTTGTAATGTTCTTTCAGGGAATGTTAGGACTCTAAATATTAAAGGAGAAATAATAAAGTGAATAAAATAATAACAAATGTGGTACATATATTAGATACAGAGTATGCAACTGTGATTTCCTGCCCGAGACTAAGTGATAATATCTATGCTTTACTATATGGATTTGTTGTTAAATAAAGAATTTAAAAAAGTGTTCTAGTTTTTGTCAGTCCTTATTCCTTTTCTCAGCTTTGCACATCTACATGAAGATGTTGACTAAAGAAGTAGCTTGTTAAGTTTCCTGTTTTTCTGCATTAGGGGCAAATCCTTGCCTTTATCAGAATGGAGGCTGTGATCAGATCTGTGAAAACAATTTTGGAATTGTACATTGCAAGTGTCATCCAGGATTTGGGAAAACTCAAGATGGAAAAACCTGTCATGCTCTGGATTCTTCCAACTCAACAGAAGGTACAATCTTCCAGTTCCAAAAAAGACCCTCCTCAAAACTTTGAGGATCCTGACAGATAGCATTGAAAAAATTCCCCTTGCTCTAACATAAGGAATGATGGTGTGTTGTCCTGGGACAAGTCTGACCACAGTAATTTTTTCCCTTGGCATTTTAGCAGTGAAAGAGAAGTGTGCAGTGCTGACAACTATTGTGAGCAATACGTCACATTCCTCCTCTTCTGTATTTGGGGAAACCCACCAGTGAGTGGTTTTAGGAATGACTTGAGGTCAGAAACAGGCTAGTCTGGGAGGATACTGATGTTTATTGGAAAGTAGACAAGGGATAGAAAATCAGAAGGTTAATTCAGTAGATTTAAATAGTCCGTGTCACTTTTTTCTTGTCTTTTTCAGGAAGTGTCTCTGTGCAGAAGGAGGTAGTGCCAATGCCACCACCAGAGATCGTACTCCAGAGCACACAGAGCAATGGGATTTTTAAGGATATGGACAGTGGGCAAAAGCAGAAAATAATTTTTTTGATGGCTGAAATCATGGTATCAGGTAGAGTCTGATGATTGTCTTCCTTCTATTTACTGTGAGGCTCTGAACAGGTTTATAGAACAGAAAGAAATCATAGACCTTAAATTAAGAAAAACTAAATGTCAAGACTGGTGGCATTCATGCTCTTAACATTCTTACAAGAAGTTGGGTCTGTGCAGTTATGCCAGGTAGGACTGCTTTTTTTGTTTGTTTGTCTCCATGTTCCTTTGCTATGTCAAAAAAAATTGATAATATTATCCTGGTCTAGAGAACGAACATTCTAATTTGGAACACGTGGGAAAGTCTCTCCCTTAGATTTTTCAAGTCTATTAAGTACCTCTGAACAAAGCTGAAGTAAAACCATTGAATTCTACCTATGTTTGATGACACTAGATCATTAAATTTTCTAGGTTTTGAATACATTATTCAGAAATCCTTATACTAAATGACATGTCAACTCCATCTAGACAAAGTGAACAGCCCTAATGATTGTATTGGCTTGTCATCCATAATCCTGGAGAGCTAAGTTTCAAACTTTGGCTGTATGTTCTGGTTTTCTTAGTTTTTTGTTTGTTTAGTTGGAGGGGGGTGTTTTTGTTGTTTGTTTTCTTTTTTTCTTTGATATATACACAGTACCTCTTTTGATCTTTCCAAATACATCTAAGTGGATTGGGTTTTTTTTGCTTTGTCTATGCTATAGATCAAGATGACTGCACTGCACTCGAATGTTACGTCAATGCAGAGTGTGTTTTGCTGGAAGATGGTGCTGTGTGCCAGTGTTTGAAAGGATTTACCAGGAAGGGGAACTCATGCTATGGTAACAAAAGACATTAATATAACTTTCGGAAAACTGTCGACTGTGGGAGAGGAAGAAAATCTATCTTCTTTCACATTGGCAGCTCTGCTGTGTGAGCCATGACAGAAAGGTCAATAGTATGAAAGGGATGATGAGCAGAGAGCATGTGAGTTGAAATGGCTAATTGTCACATGCCTGATTTGCCCCTGAGTCATGAGAGTTAATCCTAATGATATTAACAAGACATAATGGGGATAATAGGAATAAAAGCATCATGTATTCTTTTTAAAAAATTGCCTAATTATAAAAGCTCAGTCCATAGACATGATAGACAGTGTATAATTTAGAAGTTTGTATTAAGCAATCTCTTAAAAAATTAGTATTCCTGATGTAATGTTTATGTAAAAGTGCTGCTCTTTTTTCTTTCCAGCATTAGAGACTAACAACCATGCAACACATTGCTTAGGGTGGTCTTTAAATTTTTGGACTTGCATGCAACATAAATGGAAGAACTTTGTCCTCTCATAAAGGGCAGGAGAGGAAGGTGATAGAAAGAGAAAAAAATAACATGGCTAAGCATGAAGACTAGAGGAGTTTATGTTGCAATAGAAAGGGAAAAAAATTGTAAGGTTATGTGTTATTTCACAAAACAAACTTTCTCAATGATCTTAAAGGTCTTTTCCATCCTGAAGGATTCTATGATTTTTAATGTAAGGCTTTGTTTTGAATTTCTTTCAAACAGATTTTTTTTTTAAAGAAAGTGGTATTTGTGGAGCCTCTAGGTCTCCAGTTGACTCTCTTAGGTTCTTTAGAACATCCCCCTTGAATTTCATACCAAAAAAGACCACAAAGTCCTTCTCTTTTGGTTTACTTCAGATGCATAAATGACAGGTGACAGCACAGTCTGAGGGAGATTCACGATGTAGATGTTTCTTTTAATTGATTTCCTTGATGGTTTAATGACCCATGTGTTCCGTCTCCTTGTTTTATCTCACAGATGTTGATGAGTGTGCTGTAAATATGGACCACTGTGATCGAAATGTGTCGGGCTGCATCAATACGGAAGGGAGCTATGTCTGTAAATGCCTGGAGGGCTACACTGGGGATGGAGTCCATTGCTATGGTATGGGCATGTGTGAGGGCTGTGCTGTGTCTGGAAGGCTGGGACAGGATGAATGAGCAAGAGACATATCTTATGATTTGGGCTAGCCTTCCAACAAGCTGTGAAGCTGTCGTCTGAGCTGTTCTGGTTCATTTTGAATAATTTGGTAGGGGCATGGATACTAACAGTGGCTTCTCCAGACAGCTGACATCTATCATTTCTGCCTTTTTGATTTTTTTCCTCCCTGTTTGAAGTGTGGTAACCTCAGCAACTGATCAATATGCAAGGCCTGTAGTTGTCAGTGAATATCTTCTCTCATTGTTTGCACTCTTTTTAGTAGTTATAGAAAGAGAGAGAGGAAGAGTGAAGGGGAGGAGGGAAGTGGAGGTGAAGCAGTAGAGCTTTATTGGAAATCGTTGCCATGAATATAAACGAAAGCAGGTATTGAGTGTGTCATAATACTCATCAAATAATTCCAGGTCTGTTTAATAGGCATGAGGCTCAAGGTGTGACACTGACAACTTGAGTACATTTAGAGTCCTGTTAATAATCAGACCCACTGATTTTCCCATCCAGCTCTAATGCCAGGTCTCTAGTTCATTCCTTTACATCTCTTAAATTCTTAATCCATTTTAGCGGTAAATATGAACAGGAAGCCTTATCTCTCCAGTATTTGATTAGCACACAGTTTGTTCAGAGCTTTATGAGAGTCTTGGCTTCTCTTCTGTCCTTTTCTTTTTCCTTTTTTCCTTTTTTCCCTTATGGCCTAATTCAAAGCCATTAAATTTGAACCAATTCTTATATAATCTTTGCTGGACTTTGGTTCTTCAACACTGGTTAGGATGGCTAAAAAATTAAGAACAATATCATTATTATTGGCAGGGTTTGGAAAGTATCAGAGGCCGAAGATTTGAGAAAGCCTTTTGCCTACAATGGTCAGAGACAGAGGTCATGTCTTTGAGAATGTTTGGAAGTGGAGATGAAAGTGCACACAGAAGTGACAAACTCCTCTTTCTTTCCCAGCACCCCATAGAAGGCATGCCCTCAGGCAGCCCTGGAATCTTTCTGTCTGTGGTATAGTTGCACAGCTAGAAGGATTGTGTTACCTTCCACTATTATTGAAAAACAACCTATTATCTTCCTGAAGTCTTGAAATCTAGAAAATAGTAAGATTCATAGCATTTTATAAAAACTACAATATTATTATGATGTAAACAGAACTGGAACTTATTTTGTGTTTGATGACTTGAAATGTATTATGAAACCCCAAAACCGGTAAGTGCCTTGGTACTTCAATTTTAGATGCCTTCCTGCATTCACAATGCATTCCTGCATTCCATTTCTATACTGTTTTGAGCCATATCATGTTAATTTTACTGTAGAAAAAGTCCCAGTGGTTTAAGCAATCATTTCACAAAAACTGGGGTAGTAGATCCGTGATTCCTCAAAGTAGATCTGGCACATATATTCTGCTGACAGTTCATAAAATGAATCAGAGGCTGACAAACTCTGGTATGCGAACCCTTTCAAAGGTCCCACCTTTGAGGGGCGTACTTAAGTGCTTAGGAACATGCAGGTGCCAGCCTGGCAGAAGCTACTGCCGCGGGTTTTGCTAGAGAAGGCGTGGAGGCAGGGTGAGGGTATGCAGTAGGATGGAGGTGAGAGGTATATATGAGCCTAACACTGGCTCTGAGCCTGGAAACTCTTGAAATCAGGGAGCCTCTTCACAGTAACTCAGATCCTCACGCACTGAAGCGTTAACACAAACTGAATAAATCTGTAGGTTTCTAGACTTTTTCCTTCTGCCAAAACTTTTTGTTTAGGCTGAACTAAGTGGATAGTACAGGGGAGAGCTCCCCACCCCCAAACCCTTCTGCTGTCCTTTTAACTGATGCTCTGAGTCATTTCATTCTTCTAACTGCAGACTGTTTGGGTGACAGATATTGATGAGTGCAACACGGGGTCCCACACCTGTGGAGAGAACATGACCTGCACAAATACAGAAGGAAACTTCACTTGCTCGTGTGCTGATCATGCTTCTGGAACTGGCATCAGTTGCAGTGAGTAAATGGAGTGAGCAAATAAAATGAAGTGGCCCTTCATTAAGAACAGTGTTCTTGGATAAATAGTTATACTTGGAAACCAAGATATCCCTGTACAGTGACGTACCGACCAGATTGTGCATGCATCTAGCATTGCTTTAGGAGGCTGTTTTGAGGTGGAATAAGGAGACTAGATCTGAGTTTAGTTTGGAAATATCTACATTAAGGTTCAGTGTCTAAGTGTAACAACCAATCTATCTAATGGCCTTTACAATCAAAAGCAGAAGTAAATGCTCCTTGGAAGTAATATTTTTGGAGGTAATTTCAGTCTGTGTCATTTTTCAAATGCTCTGTGCCTTCCTTCCCACTGCAGAAGTCTAGCTCAGAAACTGCACATTATTTAAGTCTCACTTGATTCTTCAGAAAAAACTTGTCTTTCAGATCCAGTCACTAATTTTTCAAAAGGGCTCTGAAACTCTTTAGAAAATCTGATTACCTGTTTGAGGAAGGGAGCTGCAGAAGGTTCAGCGCTATTGACTATCTGACCCTCATTTCAGTGCCTCAATGTGGCAGCAGCATTCTTGGAAATTGTGAAGCTAAGCAACTCATTGTCTTACTCTGTGTCATCCCCCTGGTCAGGGTGAATTTTACTCCAAATCAAGTGGCTATCTGAGGATGAAGGGACACTGTGATTTTCACAGATCTATTTCTGCAGAAAAACAGAAGGAAATTATGGCTTTCTTAAATAGAACATCTTTTCAGTTACTTAAGCTTTCAGTCGTTTCAGATGTCGCTCAGAAAATGGTGATTTTAAATGATGCATGACTTGGAAGTAATGCTTTCTAGGTCCCTCATCTGTCAGCCTGATTGCATGTCTTCATAGGTGTTAACACACTGGTTTTACTCTTTTAGCAATTTTAGCAAGATGCAATTTTCTTTGCAGAATGCACACACACCTGGGGTTCACTCATCCCTTTCCACTGAGGCTCTTTGCCACGGCAGTTCTCCCTCAACCGAAATTTTAAAAAACAAATGTCATTGAAGGTCATGTTGCAATACAAATGGTGTGCGGCATAAAATTGATCCCATAAGAGTATGAAAGCAATTAGGTGTGTTTCTTCTAAGCCATAGCGCCAGAAATTCTTTGCCATGTATCTGTTTTGTTCTGACCTATAGATTTGATACAGCATCAATGTAGGCAAGAAAACACTCCTTTTCTGTAAGAGTATGTCTGCACTGTAGGTCATGCTGTGCAGAGGTATTAGTGCTACTTTTAAAACCAGCTAGTTTGGATAGCTGTGCAGATGACAGCGTGTGCGATTCAGAGCAGGCTACAGAATCCTTTAGAGAACTGGGTCCATAGGGTTCCCTACTTCCCCAGTTACGTTACTATCTGTATGTGAGCTAGCTCTCTGACTGGACTTTATGCATGGTAGAGATTTACCATACCCCACAGCTGCGTAAGTAGCAAAAATCATTTGAGTGTAAGCACCTAGACAATTAATGCAGTTTCTCCTCAGAGCTGGACTCACACATCTAAATAGACAGAACTCAGTCTGTGTCTCTTTCATTGCAAATCTAAAATCAAGCATATTTAGTAATTTGATCTTAATTTATGTGTGTCTAAATTTGATAACAACATAAGCGAATAGTTGAAACACAAGTAATTAATTGAAATTAGATATTTTTACCTACTTTTGTACCTTGAAGTTCTGGAACTCTTTTGTAAGATCACATTGCCAGTGTGGCCAAAAGCTTGAGAAGTCCTTGTGAAATCCTCTGTTTCAGAAACTACTGTTCCCCCAACTGTTGTCAGCAATGAATACTCTACACACGCTGTGCAAGGTGATATTGTAGGATGCCCTCCTTCGTACGAGTCATATTGCCTTCATGGTGGAGTGTGCAATTATGTTTCTGATCTACAAGACTATGCCTGCAAGTAAGTACAGAAATTTGTAGTTTCTGTTCTAATGAATGGCGCCCTTATGGTGCTACCCTTAATTAAGTGCAGGCAGTGAAGAGTATGTCCATATTATCTGTTCATGCTAGCAATTAGAATTAGACTCTCCTCTTTTCTGTAAGTGATCACTGTAAGTTTCAGTATGTGGCCATTCTGTTCACACCCATTGCAATTAATAGTAGGATTGGATTTGTTCCCTAAGGACTTGATTCTTTGCTTTGGAAATGGGAGGTAAGCTGTTAAGTGATTAGTGCTCATGGCATTATAAAAGAGGTGCTTGCTGTCTCTCCTGTACATATTGTGCTGTTGGTCTTGCTGTTCGTGTGTAGCATTCAGTGGGGTGGAAGAAGACATCTCTGACTTGTCTTCTCTGATTGAGACGGGGGACCAGAAGTGGTGTCAGCATCTTCCCTTACAGTTTGAAGAGTCTTGGTCCTCGGCAGAAAGGATACAACATAACAGCCTTCTCAAAATCAGGGAGAGTAGCAATGAGACCTCAAAAATGAGACCTCCTTCTCCCCTCAATATTTTTGTGAAGCCTAAGTCTAGGTTCCCCAATTGCAGGCACTGATAAAAGGAAGGAGAATCATCTCAACTCTCTGGAAATCAGCTTTAGGCTGTTCAATGTGGCAGCCTAGTCCTACGGGCTAATCATTTCTTCAAAACCTTTCATGCTGCTGTTCAAGTCTGTAACTTTATATTTGAATCCGTGCTGTATCTTTCTTCAAAATCAAGCATAAATGTGTTTACAGTGGGACAAATCCAATGCCTGCCTCCTCCCTTCAGGTCTCATCTGGTAAGTGAGGACCTGTGCAGGGGGTGGATGCAGTTCCATAGTAGGCAAATCTCCCTCTGTGTCTCAGTAATTCAGGTGGTCCTGGTATAACTGGAGTGAGGAGAGCAAGCTTTGTGTTGAAGGGTTTCTTTGACCCACCATTCCCCCCAGGTCTTCCTTGCACTGCACTGCAGGAACCCCTGTGCCAGTCCATTCCTGCAAGCAATGTCACATCCTAGGCTTTCTTATTTTTAAATATGAGTGCTCTCCACTGCCTAGAGACCTCTGTACCTGCAGAAATATGAAAAGAATATATCTCATGTACATACAAGGGAATGAAGTAGGTGCTTTGTGCCATGGATTTCCTAAGCTCACCAAAGACATTACATGAGATGGACTCATGGTCATCCCAAGTATCTGTTGTGAATTTTTAGTGTAAATTTTAGAGGCATTGAAAACTATCTCCTTTTTTTTCCACCTTATTTCTTCTGTTGAAACTAAAGAGTACAAAACTGCAGGACTTTCAAATTGGATCACACATTCTTTTCTTTTTTTGTTAGGTGTTAGAGCATAATAAGAATCCAAATATACATATTATTCAGTTCTAGAAGTGGAAGCAGTTAAAAAATTAAGGAGTGACCATACTTAGCCATGCTCTTGGGGGCCAGGCTTTGTATGCGGACCTTGCTGGCTTCTGACCTTGCTGAATTCTCACTAGATGGCAGCATTCATTCATGTAGGCTCTCATATACTAACTAGCAGAAGGAAGTAATGGAAAAATGTTATTTAGCAAAAATATCCAGCAGAAATCACATACCAAAAGTGATTTGTATTTTTATTAATAAAAGATCTTACACTAGAAAGTAGATCTTCCAGCATATTTGGAATTCATTGTGATCTAATGTTAAAAACTTAGCATTTTTTCTGCCTTCCAGCATGTATGCATTCTAAATTGTGACAGAATGAGAGTACTTGTGCCTGATTTAATAATGAATGCAGACATAATAATTTCAGAATATTAGGTAAAAGCTACTGCTGGTTAAATCCTGTTTCTCTTGCTTGTTTGACTAGCCCTTGAACTTAAGTAAAATTAGACCAGTAAGAATTGCGAGAAGGAGTTGAGCCCATATTGCTCAGAGATTGTTACAAATTTAGTAGACTTTTAATTTTTTTCCATTTATTATTTATGTGTCTCGTCTTGCACAGTAAAACTAGGCTGGAATTCTTTTTGATGTATTTCTCACTTTCTAGTAATTTTGATTTGAGGGTTTCATGCATTGATATTTCTATGTTGTGTTTTACAATGGTAAAATCAAACAGATAAACAAAAACTACCTACAGAAGAACCCTGTAGTCAAACTAAATTTCAAGGATATTTCTAACCCATATGAGGGATTTTTAAAAACACTTTAATTTTTCATTTTAAAGATTCAGATTAAAATTCAATTCCTTTAACCAAATCATACTGAAAATATGAGTAAGTCCTATATTACCTACTTGAAAGAAAAGAGAACTTGCTGCTGGAAGCAGTCAAATGGAAAATCTTAGGGAAACACTAACCACACAGTAGGATTTAAGAGAAAATTATATTTTTCCTATTTTTTACCCATTGGAATCTGAAAAATGTAATCTCTCGGTATAATTCTGTAGATGATTAAATAACAGTAAAAAAAATATACTTGTAATATGGAATTATACTGGTTTTGACAGCATTCCTTCAAAGTCTTTTTGTCTTCACTGCTACTAAATTCAACCAGATATTTCTATAGCAGTTGCCAATGTTAAATTAATATGCAAGGTCACTGAAGTGATGATGTGGGGTTTTTCCACTGCCATCAGTTACAAAGTGTGCTCATTTCCTTTGGCAGCTGTGTGACGGGCTACGTTGGGGAGCGGTGCCAGTTCAGTGACCTGGAGTGGTGGGAGCAGCAGCATGCCGAGCGGGTGAAGATGCGGAATATCACCATCACAGTGTGTGTAGCTGTGCTGGTCCTTCTACTGCTGCTGGGGTTCCTGGCTGCCTACTGCCACAGGTAGTGTTTCCAAACACATGCTGTGATCGTGTGGCACACGGGCTGAGTTGCTGCTGACTTCACAGAGTGCTCATGGTGAAGAACGTGAGCTGTTCCTCAGCTGATGGAAAGCACCATATCAAGCTTGCTATTATTTTGCTTTGCAGTTATTGGTTGTATGAACAATGCAAAAAGTTCTGGCACGTCCTTGCCTGCAGAACCCACATCGGTGTTAGTGAGCAACATGGGTCTGGAGGGAAGAAGAATACACCTTATTAGGTTTGCAGAAGAGCCATAATTTGTGTTGATGAGAGAGTTCAGGAATGTGCTATCTACTTCTTCCTTGGTTTCCCTTAAGAGCTCTAGATGTCTGAAACTGTCATGATAGGGTTTGGCTCTTAACTGCCACCTATCCCATTAGTTTGCTTTTGTTTCCCTTTCAGTGTAGAGTGGCACATGAAAGTTTCCTTGCCATTGAAAAAAGTAGCTTATTAACCTTCCAAAGCAATCTTCCACACTGATTATTCCACCAATAAACATGAAAACAATCTTCCCGGCAGTAGAAAGAGTAAAATCGAGGATGTGAGCCTAAGCACATCTGTTGTAAAAGTACTCCCTTGCATTTTCCATGGCTGTTACGAATTGTGCAGGTTTAGGATTCTTCTTGTGATAAAAGAATCCCTACAGTCACTATTTAAGAACCCGCTCTGATGTGAAATTAAATGTCATCGATGTCCCTTAGACTGGAAAGTGTTAAGCATTTAATAAGTTACAGTCTTTTGGCCATGACCTTGGCAGACAGCTGTTCTCTGAGGCTTGCTTAAATGCATATTTATATTTAAAAGTAAACACTAAAAAAGCCAGACAGCAACCAAATCAAGAGTCTCCTGCTGCATGCTGACCTGCCATCCGTGGCAGGATTTTTGTTTGTGGTTTAGATCAATTTTAAAATTAGTGTTTCCTAGACATAAAAAGTTAAGTGACAAAAGAAGTTAACTATGGAAGCTAATGTTTTTCATTCTTAATTAATGGTTCTTGACATATTTAGTCCATAAAAGTAGAGAAGCTGCCAATGTTTCTTATTTTCTATTAACTAGTGATAGAGGTTCAGAATTAAAGCTAAGTGCAGCCTGGTTTGTTCTCATAACCTGGAATTCACATTTGAATCAGTGGATACATATAGAACAGAAAAATTGTGAGATTCTTATATTTCCCATTATTTCATATATTCCATCATGACAAATAGCCAGAATATGACTCATTTTAAGGTGTGAAGATATAAAATTTCTTCCTTCCTCTCTCTTCCTGATTTATGTTTCTTTCTTGCCAAATGCTTTTGATCAATATAACTATTTACCACAACAACAACTTTTTAATTACACGCTCGACTGAATTTGAACTGCAGCTTTTACTAGCATAACTAGATCAAAATTAAACCACTGATCTAAAATCCCTATTTAACTGGAGTCTGGAAGCCAGTATTTGGGTTGAAATTGCTATATCACTTTTTCACATAATCTACTATATTTTGAAATGTAGTGATTAAGTCTGTAATAGTCCTATTCCTTCCCCTGTAAAATGGAGATGCCTATCTCCTTTTAATTGAAGGAAATGAAGCTGGAGGTCCGCACCTGCCAATTTGAAAAATGTGTGACCTGAAGGCTGAGTATTACTGAATTATTGTGTTGGTTTGTTCAATGACTATTGTCTGCCGAACAGCATCGTGTTTTTCTTAATATTAGATTTATGTAGTCTGACCGTATAGTACACCAAGTTTCTAATCTTCCTTGGGAATCAAGGAAACAACACTTCCCCTCCCCCCAAAAAAAATCTGAATCACAGATTTAACACTGACAATTCCTCCACCTCAATTGGCCAAGGCTACACAAAAACCGACAGTAGGACTGGGATTAGGATTGAGAAATTCTCTGCCTCTTGCCCATGCTCAGTTAACTAGATTTCACTGCCCCATCTGCTTGTGCTCAGTTGAACCCGAAGACACCCATGTCCACCAAGTCTATCTGGCATCTGTTACTCTGGGCACTCTACAGTAAAATGCAGAATTAGTGATCCTCTTGAGCCGAGCACCCTGTCAAGACTGTGCCTGTGTGTGAGCTCTGTGCAATGGATTTTACAATTCTTGAGTAACAAATTTTGTAAGCACTGTGAGCTGCAATGCAGAATCCAAGCATCAAAACATGCACAGCAGCCTTGCCACGATGTCAGAAAAAGTCAAAATGGTCTAATTTGCCCTATTTCTCAGCATTCTGCTCTGTAGATACACCCTCAGCTCTGACACCTGTTTGGTTTCATATTAACAGTCCCTGTCTTATCTTCTACAGGAGACAATTACCTTTTTTTTTATGTTTGAATATACAGAAATATGTTTTAGAGAATCTGGGAGAATATCAAGGTTGGAAACAGGCCTTTCATATTTCCAGTAAAAAAGCAAAATACATTTTCATAGTATTTTCATAAAGGGAGCAACATATGATGATTATGATGTATGCCCTTTCCCAGTTAGTATATAAAAGTTATATAGACAGAAAAGGGAAATTCCTAAAGAAAAGGAAAATTCCTATTTTCTTTGGTGCATGTCTATGAGATTTTATTAAAAATAGATCATGTAAAAGAATATTCCAGAGTCTGAAGAGTGTAACATTAATTTTGTTAGCTGATTCTTAGGAGGACAAAAAACATGTTTGCAAACTGAGTAAAGATGTACTGATTTGGATCTCAAGCAGTGTAAAACAAAATTTTATGTTTGGGCCTATATGGGCTTTTAATACTGTATTATAAGTGATTGCTGGCTGACTGGAAAAATAACAATGTTTGAATTTCTGGAACTAGCCACTGAGAGCTTACTGTTCTCACCTTTTTCATCTCCAAATTGTACTCATGGATTTTTTCCTTTGCACTAATTCTGTTGGTCATGCATTTTTTCTGGAAGGTCTTAGTTCCAAACTTTTTGAGACTTTCAGTTTGTTTATTTCACAGTAACATCTGAAACTGTTGCTTTTCATGAATGGTGCAGATGAATACAGAAGCGACTTTCATAACTGTAACTACCAATAATGTACGAAAATACAGTCCAATTTTTATTTCTGAGCTTCACCCACAAATGCTCTTCATTGTATTGGCTGAAACAAATCTTTATAAGAAGAATGTGTTATAGATAGAATAATATAAGAAAATGGAAGGGTCTAGTTAAAATTATGAAGCCTATTGTTCATTCTAATGAATGATCCTTTACAGATAGCACAGTAGAACAAATATTTGTTCATTTCTTACTGACTTTTGTTTTTGACAAGCTGTTTGTTTTAACCACTGTGTGGTAATTAAAATTGTGGTAAGAGTAATGCAGCCTTTCAAACCAGTAAAAGAAAACAAAATATATGTCCCTTCTGTAAATACTGATAGAATAACGTGACAAAAAGCATCTTCTGTTCCTCCCAAAGCAAAATAATTTACTTCATCTTTTGTTCTGTTGCAGAAGTCAAAATTTGTATAAGAAGAATCTCTATGCAGAAGCGATAAGAGACGCCAGCAGCCGTGCTGACAATGAGAACGTGACACCTACTAGCAACAAGTCTCTGGTAACTATATTAATGTGGAGTGGAAAGGGAATCAGGAAGGATCAAAGAGTGTTAGGGATCCACTTGAGATTATCCATCAAATAATTCACATCTTAAATACATTAAATAACTGCTAGAGTCATCAAGTGCTTTGCTGTGAACCCTAGTTCATCTTACCTCATTGTTATCCCTCAAAGTTCACAGCTGCCTGGATGTATTGCAACCATTAGCCAGTGTTATTGTTAGCTTTGAATACAACAGTTGGGGAACTGTGTTCTAAATTAAGGAAATGGCAATGTGATGACATGGCATATCACAGAATTATTTTCACAGGAAAGTATGCCCTCTGTAAAAAAGGCTTCTTGGAAGCCAAGTACTGTTTGTGCTACATGAGATGTTGAACTTTATTTTGGAGGTTGATGAAATTAAATGTTCTGTATTAGAAGCTGCTGCCTTGTAGAGAAAAACAACCAGGATTTTACTGGATAGTTTGGAAGGATATGTGAAATACTAACTTTACACTGGTGTAGGTAAAAATGCCACCATGCTCTGGTTGTACACAACTCTTTCTTTTGTCATTTTTTAAGCTGCATTTGGCCCTATAAAATCTGGTCTAAGGACATGATTCTCACTGGCATTAGAATGACATTACACTGCTGGGTGATTGCAATTGGAACTTGAAGTTGACAAGTGACATAACTTGCATCTGTGGCCACTTCTATGCCCGGTCTGAGATTCCTTTCTCAGAATGGCCTCACAAGCAGTTTAGGTAGTTTCTCGCAGGAATTGTGACTGGGTAGCCACTGGAAGACACTGTCAAACATATGTCAGTAGCGCTGAATTGACTTGAACCTGATTATGACATATTGTTCCTTAGCCAGTCAAATGCATACTCTGGTGGATCTTTTATTATTAGTATTTTTCCTCCAGGTACTGATAGCAAATGTGCTGAATCATGGCAATGTCATCATTTGTTCATAGCAGAGGCAATATCCACAGCTTGCAGAATACCTGAGGTTGGGAAAATCAGAAACATTTGTTGGGTCTGAGAACAGCTTGTTGCCTGGGAGCAGTGCTTTAGGAGGCCTGCTGCCCATCAGCTCTGTCCCCACCTGCTGTTGACCCTGTAGTTAATACAAGTTGCCAGTGACATTTTTGCTGATGTCCACAGCTAAGCAATGGACTGAATCAACAAAAACAAATCTAACCTAGTCATCTATTACACACTATATTTCAGCATGCACTGGGAGATATCAAATCCATTAATAAAGTAATTTATTGCAAATGGTTTGTGTCAGACTGGAAGAGGAAATCACTGACCCCTTGCTGATTATTGCTGCTTACACAGTAATGGATTCCTCTGGTTTCATGCATGTGATTTTCTCTGTGCTGATATAGCCATTAATTGTTAAGTTCACCAGGGCTTCATGCATGAATGCACTCAGGTTAGAAACTGTAGAGTTGCCAAAAAGCAGTGGAAGCAGGGAAGTTGTCCATTTCTACTGTTCATGTCAAGTGGATTACTGGAGGGTTTTATGTAAAAAAAGAGATTATACTACATCAGGGACAGAAAACCCTATATGTCCTCAATTCCTAAGGTGCTGGAATAGTTTTTTGAGTGCTATTGATCTACTCAACATTAATGATCTTAACGAAGGACTTTATATTGGGACTGGATGATGTGTATGCAGTGACTGTGAAGAACTCATGAATTTCACTCATTTGGTAGTCCACAGTGCTACTGCTCCTTTGTGAGGCTGGTGAGAGTGAAAAGACTTTCTTGTTCTTGTTCATCTAGGTTAATGTAGAGCTGTTGTGCTATCACACATATCAAGTGTTAGGTACTGTGATACTGAAACTATACCTATAAATTGTCCAGGTGTCATTCACTTTTTCATTCACTTCTGTTCTGCCAGGTGAGAGTACATTTAGCTAGGGGTATGCCTACATATATTTTTCATGTTCATATTTAAGTTCCATAAGCCAGGGTAGTCCTACTGATATATAAACTTCGGTAAACTTCTGCATGTGCCTGGATTTTGGTGCTGTTCACAGACTTTTCATCCGAGTGTTTTATGCTGCACAGCCAAAGATATTTTGCAGAGCTCAGTGTAGCTGAATTTCCTCTGGGGGTCTGTCTTATGCGGGTTAGCAGCTGTAAGCCTACAGATTTTATGTAAATGAACTGACACCTAAATAGGCATATCGATACTCTATCCACATAAATCCACCAGTTATCCACCAGGACCCCCAAATCCGTCTTCTGTTGGAACATCTCTTCCTTGTCTCTGCTCTTTAAACATCACCCCTTTACTGGGTTTTCCTCTTTCCCCCTGTACAATTTCAGCACAGTGCTTCACATTGCTTTCCTCTACCTCTGTTTTTTCTGTTTTCCCCCTGCTCTTTTCAGCGTGTTTCCCCAGAGGGTCTCATCTTCTGATTTCACGGTCACTGTGGGATGATGGAACCACACGCCCCCAGATGGTGTTGAGAGGCAGAAAGGGAGACTTGCTTCTTTCTCTCTGTTTGATGATTTCCTGCTGTCTGGATTCCTGCAGATCTTTTTAATACTTTAAAAATGGCCCTCAGTACTATGGAGAGGGTCGATTTTCATGAGCTTTTGTTCTTGCACCTGGAAGTGTTGATTTGCAAGGCAAGAGAGTTGGTAGTTCTTTACCGGATTGAGACTGTGTGCTTACCAAAGAAAGACTGAGGTTGTCATCGACTCAAATGTTTAATTATCTGCAGGGGAAGGGCCATCCCAGAAGTCAGGATGACCTTTTTCCCTGTTCTGTGGTTGGGTGTGTGGCCCTTCCAGTTTGCCTATTGGGTTTCAGAAAACCAATGCATTTTATATTAATTTGGGCTCTGCATATTTTGTGCATATTGTATGTATTTGCAGTTTGCGGTTGTTAAGGAGTGTAACAGTTCTCTGGAGACTAAAGTGGTTGATCTAATTGAGTGTGAGACAGCAGATCCTCATCCTGCCTGTCCTTCAGAATCTGGTGAGTAGGATTACGTACCTTATTAGGTCTCTCCTCACCTTGTACCAGCAGGACCAATGGCAGATAAAGGAGACGGAGAAATCAAAATTTTATTTCTGACCTGTTTAAAGCTGCTGTGCACAGCAGGTGCTATGTTCATATTGCTGTTAAGGACTATTCAGTTCTTCACTTTGCAGATTAGTCAAGAGAAACTACACTACAACAGTGCTTTCATGCTCAGAAGAAGCCAGATGCCTCTTGTGATAGAATAATGTTGGATTTTTGCATCTATATAGACCTTCACAGGTTTGCAAGTGAAGTTAAGGCCATTTTACTGTTGGGTAATGTATATCTGTGAAACAGTATACTTTGACAGTCCTTATTAATTCAGGTAGGATAACTGAAAATGTATGAGGAGTCCACGTTGACTCCTGTGGCAGCTACTGCAGTTCTGCTTTTTGTGTTAAACGGATGTTTGACTGCTCTTGGTGCTTAAACAAAGATGAGATAAATGAACAAGATGTGCCTCCCATCCCTCATCCAGAGACAGCAGGTAGCATGAAGCACACAACAGGCTTCCATGGCCCACAAGTTACCAGGTGGACCATTCTGAATTTTAGGAAATATTGCCTTATAGGTGGCAACTGAATCACTTAATGCTCAAATGGTGAGAACTGATGGAGAAAGACTGATATCCGTAACCCTTTATCTTATTTACCATATATATCTCCTAAGTGCAGAAGTTATTAGAGAAGCCAGTTTGCCTCAGTCACTTAGAAATACACAAAGACAAATGTTTGAGGATACTTGAATGGGCAGACATCTTGCAAGATTTTCAAAATTCCCAATCCTGTCCTTAAACATTGGGTAGTCCCTTTATTCATCAGTAGAAAATATGCCTCACATTTACTTAGTTGGACTAATACTGTGAACATGTTTAGAACTGAACTGTCCAGCACAGGAAGACTGATGTTTCCTGTTAGGAGACTCTGTTTTCATTTATAGTTCTATCAGATGCAGCTATTGTAAAAAAAATTTCCCATGATAGGTGTCTGATTTTTACCTGAAAATTTTAGCAAAAGTGGTTCAACCACCTTAGACAAAAAGACTGGTGAATAATCTGGATTTTTTTCTAACATGTTAAAGGAAGTTATTATACCATGCCAGAGAATAATTCTAAGTTCTTTTGACTTTGAAGCGGGGACTTTAATTATGCCAGGTGGGTAGTCTTCCTGTTATGGGCATGCCTTTCCCTGTTACGAATTAAAAGGGAAAACCACGAAAACCTAGGACAAGTAATTTCTTAAAATCAGAAGCAAGTTCTTGACTTTGCCTGTTTTTATGTTCTTTGACATGAGTTGGTATTGCAATTTTCTGGACCTGATCCTGTGCTTTCTTTCATAGCTTTCTTCTCTCAAAGCTGTCATTACTTTTCTTTTAGCTTAATTGTGGTGAATCTTCTCAAATGGCTTTCAGTAATACATATCCATCCTTTCTCCAGCGGAAGAACAGCCTATAACATACGACAAAGCAGCAGAGACTTTGACTGAAGAGAAGAGAGAACAAGGACATCAGAAAGAGGTTCCTGTTGGTGAGAAATCATGCCAGCCCCTGGGAGTGGCGAAGAGCCCTCCCCAGGTGTCCTGGAGCATCCATCCCAAGCCCCTGCTGGAAAGGGAGCCCTGCACTCTTGCCCCAGCCAGCCTGCTGATGCAACCAGACTAGAAGCAGCCTGGGTTTGAGTGGGAAAAGAAGGAAGTCAGCAGAGAATGGGAACTGACAAAACACTGAAACAATACTCATTTTTTCACTAAAATTTGCTTTTGAAAAAAAACCACAAATCAAAACCAACTAGAGAAGTCCTCCCCTGCCACTCCTTCCCTGTCATCTCTGCTTGGAAGAGTTACTATGAGCAACGTGTTGGCAATGAGTACTCTATAAATATCACTGCTGCTAACTTCATTAACTGCCTGCTACAAGGACACTGAGGGGAAAATAGACAAGTGGGTGATTTATGAGTGATAAATATTTTCTTAATGGAGCTTGTTGTAAGTAGTGGTCTTCACACAAACACAGAGTCTAGAAACTGCCTAGAAAATGGGTCACAAGGACAGCTGCAGAGAAACAGGAATGGAAGATGATGCAGAAAAATTAGTTCAAAATGAATGTTTTTATTAAAATACTGTTCATGGACACTATATTCCTCTCCCCAGTGCTGCTGACAGGCCAATGTAACTTCTTGGACTTCACTTGAGATGTTCTTGTATCTGCTTCCGTGAGCAAGCACCAAATGGGATCTTGCATTTCTCAGGTTTGGTGTGCTGTAGGATGATTTGTGGGCATATGTTATTAATGGTGGGCGACATTTGAGGGAAAAGGTGATTCTTCCATTTTATTTCCCAGTATACGCTGGTCCCTCAGAGCGTAACAGGATTGTCTCTGGACCGAGGAGGTGGGTCTGTGTCTGCTTTCAGCCCTGTGAAGAGGAATGTGCTGGAGCTGTCCTGGCCTCACAGAAGTGTGTCTGGCACCAAAACCTGGTTCATTATGTAGGACAGTGCGAGGACAGAAGTGCAGCCACTTTCTGTTCCAAAACAACAGGAGGAGTGGGTCAAAAAACCAAAAAAGCCACCTCAGTTTGGACTGACTTCCACACAGCTGATTTTTGCTGCCTGTTAAATTCAAGGGAACAATTGGAAAACTAAACCAATTTTTCTTGTAACTGTCTTTCTAACAGCTACTGTTCCCTTCCAGTTATTTACTAAGAACTAACTCTCTTATAAAGCTCTGTTGTATACAGAGTTGTAGCTTAACTGTTTAACATAAGATTAGCTCAGCTGGTCAGAGCATGGTGCTAAGAATGCCAAGGTTGTGGTTTTGATCCCTGTACGGGCCATTCACATAAGAGTTGGACTCTATGATCATTGTGGGTCCTTTCCAACTCAGAATATTCCGTGATGTTAAGTGATTTTCAGCACTTGTCTTGAATTCCTGTGCCATTTTCAGAACATTTTGGAAGACATCTGGAAATCAGCTAAATTACTAATAATGTTTTTATTATTTGTATGGTACCTCTCAGTCCTCTGTCTTTAAAGCCTACTACTGTAACTATTGGACACCTCCTTTAAACTCTGCTACAGTGCCTACCAGTAGTGTTCCTTGTAATTCATTAGCTGGTTAATAGTGGCAAATGTTATTAATTTTTGTGTTTGCTATCCTGCTTTTCTGGGGTTTTTTGAATCCTGCCGGAAAGGTTTGGGATGTTGTAATTTTTCTACCAGCTCTGTAGGCCAACATGGGAAAGAGTATTGAAAGGCTCTTACCTCTTATCTAAAACAGTTACACACTTGAGTAACTTTGTGAAGTTGATTCTGATTTATGTTGGTGTAAACAGTAAGAACATTGAGTCCAAGGTGTCAGAATTACAAAAATTATAATGCTCTGTTGTGTAGATGGTTGTCATTTGTCTTCTAAAGTGATTTTTGCAGGTGGTTTTTAATTGTTGAGTCTGTTTTCTAATCACATTCGTTCTGAATTCAGAATAAACTTGTAAAATAGGCATTTCCAGAGGTTAGTTGGAACTAACAGCTATGAAGACTTGTTCTCCTGTGTGAATGGCAACAAGGGTATTTCCACGGAAAGAGAAATGGTTTAGAAGTGTTGGCACACTAAACTGTGTTCAGGAGCAGGAAACCACCGTGTTGAATCATTAGTATTTGGTAGATTTGATTTTAAGTTCAGTATAGTTTAATTTAATTAACACTGTTAAAAGAATCTAGTTTGGATTCCCGTCCTTCGGTTCATTGATCCTGTGTATTTTGACGGGAAGAGAGTCCAGCTGTAAAGGCCCCAGTTCAGAAAAGCATTTTGTTTCCATAAAAGTTACACAGTAAAAAGACTTTGATCCATGCACTTTGATTTTCTCTGGTGAAGTATGTTTGTGAGCTTAAAATCCAAGTAGTGTGTTGAATGACAGTCAACATTTAGTTGGAAGTTTCCCCAATCAAAGGAAATAAAGATTTGTAACTTTGAAACCTGACTAAATAAAGATGTTTCAGACTCCTTAAAAATTAGTTTACTATTCTATCCTGGGTTTTTGTTTACTTTGCTTTCCTTCAGTCCAAGGATCTAATTTTAAGTTGATTGTATTCTTTAAAGAATAAGATTGGGAAACCTATTTTTTGTAATTATACTGTTTGGACTTTTAAATGTTTCCTAAATTCAGCTCTAAATTGAAAATAATCTTTAATGTAGAACCTTGAAATTATATTTCAACACAAATATAATATATTTGGTTTATTTGTATGTTTATAAAGCTATTGATTTATAAAATAAAAGAAACAAACAAACAAAATCCCTGATGTCCCTCTTTCTTTAAGAGAAGAGAACGCACATTTCTGGTTTCAGTTAACTGATATCATGTATGTTGATAGATCCACTGGTTTCATGAAGTCACAGTGCATAATGTGTTGGCTCAGCATTGCAGATATGGGGTTCTTGTTCTCCACTCAGATAATCTGCTCTAATGAAGATTATCTGCTGTAGCTCACAGGTAGATCCAATCTTGAATACAGTAAGTTTTTATGTATTGTTTTAGTTATACATTCCCACAAACCAGTAAAAGCCGTGTTGTCCTTTTTGTGCACGTTTAAATGACTGTTATGAAGGTTGCTGCTTGTTTGTATAGAAATATTAACCATGGCTTCACTATGTTTTTAAATTGGTTGCCAAGATGTTATTCTCAGGCTTTACATGCAGGTGTGTTGAACTAAAATAGTTGAATCCTTGAGGTTTTTTAGGCTAAACTTTCCTTACCAAAAAAACTTTTTAAATTTTTAGAATTTCTGGGTATGTAGCAAACTTAGTATTGACCTTAAATTGGTGTACTCTGACTTTTAAAAATGAAATTAACTTGTGATATATTAAACTGTAAAAGAGGAACTTAGAAACATAGTGGGAGAAAAGCTTGAGAAGTCCAAAGTAAGAAAACTATGGGCAATTTTAAAGATCAAGGGAGAAAATGAATTTGTTTAGTTCAGTAAATCCCGACTTTATTGAAGTTTACATTTCAATTCTCTAAAACCATAAAGACTCTAAGCAAGTGAGGAATGATTCATTTTAATTCATAATGGACACAGGCGATGCAATGTTCTCCAGTCATAGAACTGCATGACATATCTAATTTTAAGTCCCTTTTGCAGAAACTTGCAGCTTTGCAGAGGTTTATCTTTCAGGCAAAAATTTTGCACTCTTTCAGAATGAAAACATTTTAAAAAATTATGGAAAAAATAAAAAGTTATTCAGAATGGGATTAATTAGGGGAAGCCTATGCCTTCTTAACATATATTGTGTTTTTGTCTTATTGAGAGTAATTTTATCTCGTTATTTCAGGGTGATGCCTACACTGTTCCATTAGTCTTCAGGACACACTTGGTGTTATTGCTTCATTCTCTGATAACTTGCCATCTTTATCTCTGTGCATGTGAAAAGGAAAGAAGCTAGTGGCATTAGAAGCCTCCCCCAGAGCCTCAGGAATGCACCCCAAACACAATCTGCAAGGGCGATAGCCTAAGTTGGCTCTGATCTTTTATTGAGACTCCTGTTTAATGCCAATTTTGATGTGGACCAGAACCAGCCAACTTTGTGAAGACCATTCATCATGGGATTAACTTTCAGGCACTCCTCAGTACTAAGGTGGACTGGATTCAGACCAGTGAAAAGCCTTAGTCCCTTTTTACCAGCCTTAGGGATCCTTAATATCCTGCAATTTCAAGACTTTGGAACTTGACTTTTGAGGCAACTGCTGCAATAGTCATGTATAAAGATGCAGAAGCCCTTTTGTACTGGGACCCTGGCCACTATCACGTCTTCCTCCTCAAGCCTAGGTGTTACAACCAAAATGTCTTCTCCCTGCCTACTTTCTTTCTGGAGGGGATGGTTATGGCTCTCCCATTCTGTAAGATGCAAGCTGAAGCTAAACCAAGGCTGTCGAGGAACTTCTACACTTCATAGATCAAGAACCCGTAGTCTGGCAGCTGTCTCTTTTCCAGGTAAGAAGTTAGGATACAATCTCAATTTTAATTTTAAGCACATCTGAGTCCTAGACCCATGTTTTAGCTTGCACTCACTGCTGCGTGACACTATTACCTTTCCAGTATCCAGTATTATATCACATACATTCCAGGAGCTTCAGTTCACAGTCAGTCTTGTCCATGTTACCCCTAATCTGTCCCTATCAGTCTGACCCCCACCGTATGTTCATTACAGGTTTTGGGATCCTGTCAATTTTCAGTCCATGGAGCAATATTGGCCTCACCCATATGGTCTTTATCCAAACCAATTTGGATTGGTTTTACAAGTAAGTCAAAGACAGCACGTAAGGGAATTACTCACTTTTATGTGAGCAGCTACTGGCAACAGAACAGCTGAAGTCCTGGGCCATTAATAAGTTCCCTAGGTATTAATAGGATGCAAACAACGAAAAGAACACTTAATAATTTATAAAATAATTATCTTCTCTGGGTTTTCTATTTATTAAAGCCAACAAGTTTTATGTGCTCTATTCAGTCTACACAACAGTGTGCATATTTAAATAGACATGATATTTGTTAATATTAATTACACAAAACAATACATTTGATTGTGATGTAATAAACAGAAAGAATGTCCAGCTGATATTTCATTGGTCTATTAACAGTAGTTAATCATAACATAGTAAGAGTAGTGAAAGTGTGTTATGTATAAATTTATAATTTTTTCACTCAAGAAAGAAATAGAAATATTTACATTAAGATTATAAAGGCCATTTTGCTGTTTACTTCTTGTTTGCAAAAGAAAGTTGGACCCAGCTCTGTGCAGCCTTTGTTCAGTGTGTGCCTGTACATAGTAGGTTAAGAAGAAGAATCGTGTTTTAAACGGCTCTTGAAAGACAACCATTTAAACAAGAAATCAATAAACTAATACAGCCAGATGCTGAACATCTCACTGGAGACCAAAACCACTAATAATTATGGGAGATTGAAGAATCCCTACAGCATTTGTATGAAATAATAATAAAGTTCAAACATTTCCGCTGACCTTAGTGTTGCTCATTAAAGGTTTTAGCAGAGACCTGGATACAGTCGCATTCAAGTGAGGTGTTTGGAATTAAAATACAGATAAAAGGAAAAAGGTTAATCCAGGTCAAGGGAACAGACCAAAACTGGGATTGCATAAGATTGTATTATCTTTCCTCATTTCTCCAATGGTCAACAGCAGTTAGTTTTAAGTAACACTCTTCTCCACAAAATCTCCTAAATGAGAGCCTAAACATGCTATTAAATGCCCATTTTTTGACTTTGTCTGTATCTTTAATCACTGTACTATGATTTTTGACCTCTAAGAGAGTTTTGTTTGCCTAAATGCAGAAATGTGCTTAGCACCACCTTCAGAAGACAGATGTATTGCACTCACTACTGCTTACTGTATGTTGTAATTACAATAGTCCTTTTCTCTTTTCTATACCTAATAATCTGTATGAACTATAGGAAGTACATCAAAACACACTATGAGCCCAATTTTGTAATAGAGGGGTGACCGTGACCCCAGAACTGAAAACTATCAAATGTTAAGGCAGTTGGATCTGTATCTGACCTACCTTGAGGCTTAATGTAATAATAAACCAAACCTAAAATCTTCATCCAGACAGTGGCTCACTACTCTTCTTCTGCATCCCATATATCATTTACTCAAAATGCAAATTCAGGGCTTTGTGGCTGAGGATGCTGCTACCTTAGAGAGTGGTAGTGAGCACTTAGGAGCTCTTGATTCTTTTCCTCACTCCACTACTCATGGGATGACATAAGGCAAATAACAGGTCCTTGCAAGCTTTTCCACTCTCTCCACTAGAAGAAAAAAAGAGAAGGAAAGAAAGACAGAGAGACAGAGAGAGAGAGAGAGCACGGCATAAGAATTGTTACATATATTCTAATAGCTCTTGGTGTGACAGGGTTTTTTTGATTTTTGAAAGAAGTAACAACAGAAGGGCTACTCTTATAAACAAAGCTAACATTAAAATCAGTGGACTTGGAATCAAGCTGACTGAGATTTATATTTCTTTCTGCTCCAGAGACAGACCTGTTTGAAGTGGGTGCAGCTTTAGCAATGTGTTGGCATATTTTATCTGAATCTTACCCCATTGTCACATTATTATATGAAAAGAGTGAGTATTGTACACCGTAACTTATTCAATATTTAATTTTTTAATGGTGTTAATTAATCTTTTTTTTGGTAAAACTCAGCCCTTTGTCTAGAGCCTGTTCACCATAGAGTCCATCTTTAACAGTTAAACTGTGCTAATCTTTTTGTGCAGAGGTGAATTCACCCTCTGTTTATATGTGTAATGATAAGCAGATCCAGATCTAAGATTTTAGAAATGCTTTACAGAGCAGAAGTACCGAAGCTCTGCATCAGCAGCTTCAATAAGCAAAACACAGGTATGTTTGCTTCACTGTGTATTTTAGGACAAAGGGAGCATTAGAAGCACTAGAATGTATTGGTGCGGGGTCTTCTGATCTACAATAACACAGGGAGTGCAGTGTGAAGTCTGGTTCAAGAGCCTTTGCAATTAAAGATTTCAGCCAAGCTCGTGGTGTGTAAGCCGGGGTGTGCGAA